CGGCGGTTCTGGCCCCACTTTGCATGTGATGGAGAGAGAAAGGGCCAAAGAAATCAACTTTTTACTATTTTTTTTTTGGCTTTTTGGGTCCCACCCGGCGATGCTCAGGGGTTCCTCCTGGCTCTGCACTCAGGAATCACTCCTGGCGGTGCTCGGGGGACCCTATGGGATGCCGGGGATCAAACCCGGGTCGGCCGCGTGCCAGGCCAACGCTCTCCCTGCTGTACTACTGCAACCCCAAAACGCAAGTCTTACACACGCCGCCAAGGGCCGAGCGGACTTGGCTCAGAGCCCCACCAGGGACCCCCACAGACACCAGGTGTGGCCCCCAAGCCAGGAACCAACAGCCCCAGCCCCGACTGGCCAGAGACCCCGGGGCCAGCTGCCACGTGGACGCCCAAGACGCCCAAGAGCAGAGCCACGGACGGGCCACCGGACTGCCCGCTCACGGGTCCCGAGGGCCTGAGTCAACGCCTGGCCCCCGGCAATGTGACTCTGACGAATGAGGAAGTGAGGGCGGGGGCAGGGGTCCAGTTCGCCCACTGCCAACCCCAGATCCCCACCGAGCACAGGACTCGCTCCCCAAGGGATGAGAATGTTCTGGAAGGAACAAAGCGCACATGGCCAGGAACCCAGGCCCCGAACCCGATACCCAGAAGCCGGGAGGCCAGTGTGGACAGGGCTGAATGCCGCATCCAGGGCTGGGCCCGCAGCGGGCAGTGACAAGGGCGGCCAGGTGGGAGGGCACTGGGCATCCAGGGAGAGAGGGGACCCCCTGTCCCCCGGACACGGGACTCCAGAGGAGTGCCCGGGTCAAGGTCAAACTCAGGGAAAGGTCACGGTCAAGGTCATCATGAAGGTCAGCGGGATGTGTCCACCTCAAGGAAGTGACGCTGACGTCGACGTCACTGCAGGTGGCTGTGACGCACAGACCATGGCCGAGGGTCACAGGAAGCGGAGGAGGACACGGAGTCCCCTTCCTCCCCCTGGGGAAGCCACTGCAGAGGGAGTGGCCGCAGGAGGACCTGGGCCCCGGGTCGCGTGGGAACTGCCAACGGGGACCCCCCAAGGCTGAGCACACGTGTCTTGCGGACACGGAGTGGGAGAATTGAGGGTCGGGACAGGCTCCTGGGCTTGTTTGCAGGGATGAGGAGTGGAGAGAGGAGGAATGTGCAGCTGGAAGATGCAGGCAGGGTAGGGAGCAGGACCCTGGTGGGCTCGAGAATCGTCCACACCAGCCACGATCTCTGTGGGGAGGCCACGAGTGGCCCAGGACAGCTGGTCCCGCTCACAGGTTGTGGGACCAACCCCCCCCTACCCTGCACCCCTCACCCTCCACGGTTTCCTCGGGGGGGGCCCTGCGACTTCTCAGCTGCAGGTGGGATGGGGGTGGGGGGCTCAGAAGGCGGGGGGGGGGGGCTCGCTGATGATGCCTGAGCCCTCAGCGGTCACCTGGTCCCTCTGGGCACGGTCCCATCTTGGAGTCGATTTTGTTCACTGTCACGCCACCCGCAGACGTGGCCGATACCACGTGTCTGTGGCTGAGACCACGTTTTCGTGGCTGAAACATTTTCGTGGCCGAGACCACATTTCTGAAGGCCCCTCTAGGCGGTGTCGGCCACGGCTAGAGCCCAAACCCCGGAGGCAGAAGGGGACACAGAAGCATCTCTCAGGGGTCCTGGCAGGGGAGGGGCAGGCCCGGGGAGGACGGGTCAGTTCGGGGCGGCCCTGAAGCGTCAGGTACCCCCTGCAGGTAGCACCCAGGTGACGCCCTGGACACAAGCAATCACCCGGACGCAGGGAGCCACCCAGGCAGCAGAAAGGAAGACCCGACCCGAGCCGCCTGGCCTGGCCCAGCCTGCCAGGCCCAGCCTGGCCCAGGAATCAGGAAGAGAAGGCCTGGACGCGGCTAAGCCAGGGGTTCCACCTTGAAGCTGCCGGGCACTGAGCCCCTTTGTTACCTCAGGAGAGCAGGAAACTGGATCCCGCGCGGGCCTGCTGGCAGCTCGCTCCCCTCCTGCCTCCCCGGGTGCTGGGTGCTGGGCAGAACCCTCACCCGTCCCCTCATCCCAGCAGAAATCCCAGGCGACCCTGTCACCAGGCCCCCAGTCGGCTGCAGACGGGTCCCGGCCTGGGGCAGGCACTCTGCACCCCACCCCACCCCCGGCCAGCGGGTACGGACGGGCAGGTGGGCAGCGGTGGACTGCCCTGCCCACCGCCACGGGAGCCGCACAAGCCCAGGAGGGCACCAGGTACAGCCGCAGGCCTGGGGAGACCCCCCCACACACACACACACGCACAAAAGGAGCCACTCAGCAAACGCCCCAACGGCCACTGGAGGCGGCCGGAGCAGAAGAAGCGTTTGGGGTTCAAACGCAGACGCCCGATCCCAGCGGCCTCCGAGTGGCCTCCTCGTCCAGCGCAGAGGGGAGGCAGCCCCCGGCCACCGGGCAGCGAGTCGCACTCACGCCCCCCAACCACAGGCTCCGGCCCAGACCTGCCCACGGGGCTCAGCTGTCCTCACCGGGGTCCGAGAGGCTGCCAGTCCCCGGGGGACCTGCCCGGCGTCCAGGGGCGCTGATGCCCCGCGAGCAGGTGACTCCGTCCAGCCTCTCTGGAGCGAGCCACGCCCCCCCTGCGGGCCTGGTGGCGGGGACAGGAAGTGGCTGCCTCCGTGTCCACACCCAGCTGGCCCCGGGCTGCCCAGGGCCCACTACAGGTGTGAGAGGCCGGGCCCAGCCCCTGCTCCCAGCCCGTCCCTCCCTTTTCTCAACCACAGGCCAAGCAGAACCGGGTTTGATCCAAGAGTCCTTGGGGGCGGGGCGAGGTGACTATAGAGAGTATGTGTGGCCGGTCCAGGGCTTGCTGGCAGGTGGGCAGCCCGTCAGGAACGAAGATGGACCTCCCCTACCGCAGAGCCCGGCCAGGCCAGGACCGACGTGTGTGGTGAGGTGGGGAGGGGTGGGCGGCGGGTCTCAGCCTGGCTCGGGGCCGGCATCCGAGTCCCCCCAGAGCCCAGCGAGCACCGGGGCAGCTCCTAGGTGGGGCGCTGGGATTGGAGCAGAAAAGCTGAAAATTTGTTCATTCTGGTGCCTTGGCAGATGGGGACCCACAAGATGCAATGGAGGGGGGGGGGGTCTGTGAGCGCCCCGAAACACCCCCCAAACTCAGCACGTTTGCTTCCAGAGGTGAGTGAAGGGCCTGGCTGGGTCCCAGCTCAGGCCTGGTGCCCCCAACAAGGTTCCTCCTCCCCCCACAGGGCTCCCGGGGGCGACCCCCTGCTGGCCCCTCACCACGTGGGCTGGGGGCACCTTCAGGGAAAAGCAGCGGGCAGCCTTCACCCACTGACACGGTCTCCGACGGGACAGATGCGCTCGGATGCATGCCTGGGGGAGGGGGGTGGACGTGTAGGACCCCCAAGGGGGGCAGGGCGGGATCCACACCCACAGCAGGGGGGCCCCTGGGGAAGGACACCCCGGCTTCAAGGACACCCCGACTTCCAGCCTTGGCGCTCACCCCAGCTTCTAGGACACCCCCCATTCAAGCATGCCCCAACTTCACGCGCGCCCCGATGCAGAGACCCCCGACTTTGGGGAACTGTCCCCTGGCCAAGGCGCACCCCCTGGGGTGTGGAGCAGAGAAGGAGCCCGGTGGCTCCCGGGGACCCGCAGGGAGAGCCCGCCGACCCCCGAGATGCCCCAGGTGCCTATTCCAGGAAGGGACCCCAGCCCCGCACCTGGCCAGAAGGCGACTGCCCACCCCCCGGCCCAGCTGCCCACCTGCCAGCGAGCCCTGGACCGGCCAAGGGAAGAGTGGCTGGGACCCCCGAAACGGGTCCTCGGAACCTAGAAGACGCCCCCCCCAGCACCTCCTCCGTGGAATCCGCATCAAGGCCGGAACACCCCCCTAAGGCACTGGGGGTCCGGATGCCCGGCTTCTCTCCCACAATCCTGGAGGGTCCGGGGGGGGGGGGGCGTCAGTGGGTCTGGTTCTGGGGGACTGCAGGAGGGGGGGCCGCAGGTGGGGGGAGTCAGCAGGTGGGGGTCTGGAGATGGGGGTCTGGGGGAGTCTGCAAGTGGGGGGATCAGTAGGTGGGAATCTGGGGGGGTCTGGAGGTGGGGGCCATGGGGGTCTGCAAATGGGGGTCAGCAGATGGGGGTCTGCAGGTGGTGGGGTCTGGAGGTAGGGGTCTAGGGGAGTCTGCTGGTGGGGGCAGGGGGAGTTAGCAGGTGGGGGTCAGCAGTGGGGGTCGGCGGGGGGGGTCTGCAGACGGGGGTCAGCGGGAGGGGGGTGTCTGCAGGTGGGGGCCTGGGGGGTTCGCAACGGGGGTCTGCAGGTGGTGGGGTCTGGAGATAGGGGCCTGGGGGGGGTCTGCTGGTGGGGGGGTTAGCAGGTGGGGTCAGCAGCAGGTGGGGGCCACGGGGGTCTGCAAATGGAGGTCAGCAGATGGGGGTCTGCAGGTGGTGGGGTCTGGAGATAGGGGTCTAGGGGGGTCTGCTGGTGGGGGGTTAGCAGGTGGGGTCAGCAGCAGGCGGGGGCCACGGGGGTCTGCAGGCGGGGGTCAGCAGTGGGGGTCGGCGGGAGGGGGGTGTCTGCGGGGGGGGGGGCTGGGGGGTTCGCAACGGGGGTCTGCAGGTGGTGGGGTCTGGAGATAGGGGCCTGGGGGGGGTCTGCTGGTGGGGGGTTAGCAGGTGGGGTCAGCAGCAGGTGGGGGCCATGGGGGTCTGCAAATGGAGGTCAGCAGATGGGGGTCTGCAGGTGGTGGGGTCTGGAGATAGGGGCCTGGGGGGGTCTGCTGGTGGGGGGTCAGCAGTGGGGGTCGGCAGCAGGCGGGGGCCACGGGGGTCTGCAGGCGGGGGTCAGCAGTGGGGGTCGGCGGGAAGGGGGTGTCTGCGGGGGGGGGCCTGGGGGTCTGCAAGGGGGGTCTGCAGGCGGGGGGCCTGGAGGCGGGGGGGCGGGCGGGGGTCTGCAGGGGGGGCCCCGGGCCCGGCGGCCCCTACCTTGGCCTCGAAGCAGATGCCGTGCTGGAAGGCGTCGTCGTTGTGCAGCGGGATCCGCAGGTCGTGCCCGTCGTCCACCAGGTTGTACTTGGTCTTGCTGGGCATGGCGCCCGGGGGCCGGGCCGGGGGCGCGGGGGGCGCGGGGCCGGCGCGAGGCCCCGGACGAGGAAGCGGCGGCGGCGGCGGCGGCGCGGGGGCCTGTCACGGAGACGCCGAGCGGCCGCCCCGGCTCCGCCCGCCGCTCCGCCCGCGGGGCGGCCGCCCGGCCCCGCCCCCGCCGCGCAGGCCCCGCCCCGCACCCGCCCCCCGCCGCGCCGCGCCGGCCTGGCGCCCGGCCGGGCCCCGCCCCGGACACGCCCCCGCGGAGCCCCGCCCCCGAGCCGGGGCCCGCCCCCAACCCCGCCCCCGCAGCGCCGGCCCCGCCCCGCCGAGCCCGGCCACGCCCCGGCCACGCCCCCGGTGAGTCACGCCCCGCCCACTGGAGGCCCCGCCCCGCGCAGGCCCCGCCCCCGAGGCTCCGCTGCGCCCGCCCCGCCCGCCGTGCAGGTGAAAGTCCCCTTAGCCGCGCGCTGGCCTCGCCCATCCCGCCCGGAACCTGGCCAGGCCTGCTGGACCCCAGGCCCAGCCGGGCTGGCTTTGTCGCTGAGGCCGCGCCGGGAATGTTCTGGCTGGGCTGGGGCGCTGGGGGGGCTGGGGGGCTTGGGGGGCTTGGCGGGCTGTTGCTTTTACTCTGCCAAGTGGTGGGCACTGCAACCAGGGTCCCTCCCTGTTTGGAGACCTTGGCCCCTTGCAAGCTCCTTTTGTTTCCCCGGTGATGCCTGAGTGGGGGGCCCGGCCTCGTGCGTGAATGCGGCGCCCACCAGCCTCGTGGACCTGAGCCAGGCGGAAAAGGATGCGGGCTTCCAGAACCTTCTGTCTGTCCCACTTTCGCTGCCTCTGCAGGCTGGCCCGGGCACAGGGCACTTGCAGGTTGTTTCCTGGCTGTTCTATGGTCCCCTCCCTCCCCCCCGATTATGTACGACCGGCTGGCGTTCAGGTGGCCTTTGTGACAAAGAGGCTTGGTCTCTCTCCTTTGCATCAGACGCTCTCGAAAAGGAAAAAAAAAATAATAAAGCTGTTCGTCTTGGCACGGGAGAGGCCGCATCGCGGAAGGAAATTCATTTATTTAGTGCTGAACCGTGCAGAGGGTTCCGCGGCTGTGACATTACCCCGAGGTCACCCGGAGTGGCCGCCTCGTCATCTGCACCAAGATCGCTGTCCCCTTCAAAACTTCTCTTGGCAGTCTGCGTACCCCCCTGCCCCCCTCCCCCCAGAACAGACCTGGCTGGACAGGAGGCCCGGCTGGGAACTGGAGCTTCCGTGCCAGGCTCGGCTGTCCACGCTGGTCCCTGATAAACAGAGCCGCGGCCTGCCCACACCCTGAACCCATGTCCGTTGGTCCTTCTCCCTGGAACCTTCTGCAAGGGCTCCTGATAGGCCATCGGGGGCCATCTGGGGCCATTGGGGGCCAGGAGACAGTCACCGCCCCCCACCGGTGCTGCTGCTTCTTCCTTAGTCCCCTAAACGTCAGCCAGAGCCAGAGATGAGCTGACCCCAGGGTCTCTGCCCGAGGACCAGCTTCTGCAGTATCACTACAGTGACTGATTTCCTTGAGCTTGGAGAAGGGGGTTGCAGTTCCTCCTGCCTCCCATCTGCCGCCTCCGCCTTCCTCCCCACCCCCAGTGAAACCCCTCCTATTCAGAAACCGGCTCTGCACCATGGCGGAGGGGCGGTGGTGGTCTCAGGGAGTCCACACTGGGAAGCCCCCGTGGAATGTTCCAGAAAGGAGAAGTCAGTTCTCTGCTGCTGGACCTCCACCAAGAATAACGCCCGCGTGGGGAGGGGAGACAGACCCCTGGCCTCGCCCCGGGGGACAATGGGCCACCAGACTCGTTCCCTTTCTTGTTTTTTTCAGCAGGGAGTTCTATCTTGTTTGTGAAAAATTCAAATGTGATTGGATTTCACCCACCGCCTTGCCAAATCTGTGGGAGGAATCAGATTTTCTTCCTTTTTTTTATTTCCCCTCCCTGGGAGGGGGGCACAGTGCTGGAATTAAGCCCACAGGCTCCTACCAGCAAGACAAGTGCTCTAACCACTAGGCCACAGCCCTGGCCCGGGCCTGAGTCCATAAGATGGACAGCAGTTCCGGGGATCATGTTTTATCTCCCCAAACTTATGTACTCGGGTGCTCAGTGCTCAGTGACGTATAACTGCGTGGTGATCGCAAGTCAGTTTCATTCCTATGCTGGGGCCGGAGCCGCAGGAGAGCGGGGAGGGCGTTTGCCTTGCACACGGCCGACCCGGGTTCGGTTCCCAGCATCCCATAGGGTCCCCCGAGCACCGCCAGGAGTGATCCCTGAGCACAGAGTCAGGAGCAACCCTGGGCGTGCCCCCCCCCCCCAAAACAAAAACTCCAACCCAGAGGCAGGAAAGTCACTTCTCAGCGGGCACCAGACGTCTCTCGCCTGGTCTGGTGTCAGGATTCGTCGGCAGTAAACGACAGCTTGGATGTTTACCCCTCGGGAGTGTTCTAGAAGGTCTCCCCGGTTCTGGGTCGGCTTAATCCTGCACCCCCTTAGTCAGCCTTACCCTCCCCCACAAAGTCCTTCCCCAGGCAGGCCCGGGCCCAGCGATGGGGGGGTCCACACTGGAACCAGGAGCCTCTCCAAAGCAGCCGGGGGCTGCCGTGGCCGCCCCAGGCCTGGTCTGGGTCTCATTGTGCCGGACATTCTGTCACTGTGTGCCCGCGCTCCCGAGCCCTGTCCGCTGCCCCCTGCCCCCAGCCCGGCGCTCACCTCCTTGATTCAGCCCCCGCAAGCCCCCCTCCCCTTTAAACAAGCTTGGAGCCAGCTGCCGCGGGTGGGACGCCGTCTGTCTGCGTCTCGGCCTCTTTACAAACCCGCATTCTTGAGATAAGAACCCGGGAGAAGAGTCTGGGAAACGCGCACCCGCGAATTTCATTTCAGGGCCGGCCGGGCACGGGCAGAGCCTCGAAGCGGCTTGGAGCCGCCTGGAAAGTGAAGCCTCCCCCCACCGGCCCCACCGAGAGCCGGGGAAAGCCCACGGGAAGGAGGCAAAGAAATGGACAGGCGTGTGTGCATGCGTGTGCATGTGTGGATGTATGTCTGTATGCGTACGTGTGTATGTGTGTGCGTGGGGGTGCATGCATGTGCACATGTATGCATGCATGTGCACACATGTGTGCATGTATGTGTGTACATGTGTGTATGTGCATGTGCACACATATATGAGCATGCACGTGTGTGCATGTATGTGCTTGCATGTGTACATGTGTGCATGAATGAGTGCGTACATGTGTGGGTGTCCATGTGCACGTGCATGTGTGCGCGAGTGTGTACATTCATGTGTGCACATGCACATGTGTATGCCTGTGTGTGCATGCATGTGTGCACATGCATGTGTCATGTATGTGTGCTCATGTGTCTGTGTGCGTGAATGTGCATATGCATGTGTGCATGTGTGTGCATGTGTATGTGCATGTGTGCGCGAGTGTGTATGTGCATGTGTGTACATGCACATGTGTATGCATGTGTGTGCATGCATGTGTGCACATGCATGTTTCATGCATGTGTGCGCATGTGCGTGTGTGCGTACATGTACATGTGTATGTGCACGTGCATGTATGTGCATGTGTGCATGTGTGCATGTGTGCATGAATGAGTGCATGCATGTGTGCGTGTGTATGTGCACGTGCATGTGTGCGCGAGTGTGTGTGTGCATGTGTGCACATGAATGTGCCATGTATGTGTACACATGTGCGTGAATGTGTGAGTACATGTGTGCATGTGCACATGTATGTGTGCATGTGTGCGAGTGTGTGCATATGTGTGCATACATGTACATGTGTATGTGCACGTGCATGTATGTGCATGTGTGCGTGTGTCAAGTATGTACTTGCATGTGTGTGCGTGCCCGTGTGTGTGTATAGGGAGGGATCCAGGGGCATGTCTCTCTCTCAGGCTGGCATTCACCGGCTCTGAACTCACTTGGAGGGACACCGCGAGGCCTCCCTGTGCCGGGAGGAGGCTCTGAGTCGCAGACCGAGCGTCACTCTGGCTTAATCGACAAGCATCTCTGGGTGACCAGCAAGCGGACACCCAGGCCGGACTCTGACCCCTCAAAACCCCGGATCTCTCTGGGACCGCCAGCCCCATCGTGCCCTGAAACAGGCAAAAGGGGCCTGGGAGCTGCCAGCCCTGGGGGCAGTCGGCGCACGCCAGCCCCCACCTCAGCTCCTTGATCCAGCCCGACCTGCAGCCGTCGCCAAGCCCAACTCAAGAACCACAGGTCCCAGGGGTGCCCTTTTGGGGAACAGGGCTGGCGCTGCCCTGGTGGGGGGCCCTGAATGAACTCACATGGCAGCCGCTCCAGCCCGGGAACCCAAACCAGCAGCGTGAGGGCCCTACCCCACAGCACGGCATCCCCTGCAGGAGAAAGCAGGGCGGCCCACGCCCTCCTTCAGAACTGGGTGCCTGCAGCTCTCACCAGGGCCCAGCACCCACAGGCCTGCAGAGCCCCGCCCGCAGGGCTAACCCGGACAAGACCCTGCACCCACCAAGGGCCCAGCAGGGTTAAAGGACCCGTAGGGGAATCCGTGAGGCGGTCTGGGGCGCCCTCGTGTGGTTGCACCTGGTAATGCATATGACCAGGCAGGGAAAAGGGGGGCGTCTGCCCACCTCACGTGTCTGCAGTTCTCAAAAGCACCCACCGCCCCGGGCTTTCCTGTGAGCACTGGGGACCCTCAGATCCTGCCCCCCCAAAGAGCTTATAGTCTTGCTAGGGTGGAGTTTCTGCAACTCTGCCCAGAAGGGCACGCCCCTGACCCCAGCCCCGGGCTCCAGACTCAGCCCCTCAAACCGGCCCCCTCAGCCACGGCCACACACAGGCATGCGGTCACTGGCAGTGCCCAATGTCCCTTTCCTAGGCGCCTCAGAAGTACCTCCCAGTTCACCGAGGACACAGCCACAGGGAAAGACCCCCGCCCCCGATGTCCATCTGCCCCCAGCCCAGCACCAGGCTGTGTCCCCACATTCAGGGTGTCGATGCTGTGAGTGGCCACCCAGGTGGCCAGCCCTGCCCGGAGGTGGGTTAGGGGCCAGCCCAGGGGACGAGGACCCCAGAAAGTCACAGCTGGAGCGATAGCACAGCAGGTAGGGCGTTTGCCTTGCACGCGGCAGACCCGGGTTCGATTCCCAGCATCCCATAGGGTCCCCTGAGCACCGCCAGGAGTGATTCCTGAGTGCAGAGCCAGGAGGAACCCCTGTGCAATGCTGGGTGTGACCCAAAAAGAAAAAAAAAGAAAGGAAGAAAGAAAGGAAGGAAGGAAGGAAGGAAGAAGGAAAGAAGGAAGGAAGGAAAGAAAAAAAGAAAGAAAGAGAGAGAAAGAAAGAAGGAAAGAAAGAAGGAAAGAAAGAAAGAAAGAAAGAAAGAAAGAAAGAAAGAAAGAAAGAAAGAAAGAAAGAAAGAAAGAAATTCACAGCTGGTGAGGAGAGAGAGCGGGAGAAGCCCCCAACCCTGACCCCTGACTCCCAACCCCTAACCCCAGCCCGGAAGCTTCCACCTGCAGCCAAGGAGGCTGAGATGTGTGCAGAGAGGATGCTGAGTGAGGAACAGCGGGGTGCCGGGTGCAGGGATGGCCCAGGGTGTCTTATCCATAACTGGGTGCCGGGTGCTGGGCGACTAGGGTGCAGGATCACCGCCCGCCACTAGGGGTCAGTCTTTCCCCAGCCTACAAACCCCACTGGAGCCCGAGCCACTGCGTGCTGAGCTGCCTGCAGCCCTTGGCTGGACAGTGAACCCCCCCCAAATTCCAGGGACCCCCTTTTGGCCCCCAGACGAGCTCCTCGCTCTCAGAAACCCCATCTTGTCCCTGTTTGCACTGTCGGGGGGAGGGGGCTGGGGCTGGCATGGTGGGTGCCCTGGGGTCCCTCCCAGGCGCTCAGGGACTGTGGGGTGCGGGATGGAGCCCCCCTGTATGCGAGGCCTGCGTCCCCTCCAAGCATCACCCCAACCCCCCGCAACGGCGCAAAAGGAACCGAGACCCCCGACTGTGCTGGGAGCCCACAGCAGCTGCCCCCCCCCCCGGCCCGCCCCAGCTTTTTCTCCATCTGGGACCCCCAGATCCCCCCACACTGAGTCCATGGGTGCAGGAGGGGTGGGAGGGCAGTGAGCGGCCACAGGGGGGGGGTCTGGCGCCTGGATGTCCCCACCCAGAGCTGGCCCTGACCGGGTCCAAGTGGAAGCCAAGCCAGGGGAGAAGGTGGGGCCCTGGTGTTGGGCCACGTTCTCGGATTCTGCAGCCATGGGGCAGGTGCTGGTTCTGCACGACACGCCCAGGAGTGGGTCCCTCTCCCCGGCTCCCTGTGCCCGCCTGGCACCAAAGCAGGCGTCCCCAGCAGGGCCTGGAGCGGCCGGGTCAGCTGGGAGCCAGATGGTCTTGCCCAGAGCCGCGCTGCTGGCTGGCGTCGGTCCCTGGGACGGGCCGAGGGCTCCGGGCGCCGCCCTGCCCGTGAGAACGGGCCATTTAACACTCCTGGTTTGCATCAAGCCCGAGAGGACGCCTCCCGCGTTGGGAAGTGACCCCCCAGCAGAGAAGAGAACCGAAATGGGGTCCGGACACTCATCTGAGCTGGTCAAAACAAAAAGAATACTTTTTTTTCTTTTTGGGTCAAACCCGGCGATGCTCAGGGCTGACTCCTGGCTCTGCACTCAGGAATTACTCCAGGCGGTGCTCAGGGGACCCTATGGGATGCCAGGGATCGAACCCGGGTCAACCCCGTGCAAGGCAAATGCCCTCCCTGCTCCGAAGGCCTGGAATTCTAAAATAGTCCTGGAAGCTAGCACAAAACTAATGTCAAAAAGGATTTTACAAATTTTGCATTTAAGGGGCTGGAGCAACAGCATAGCAGGTAGGGCATCTGCCTTGCACGCGGCCAACCTGGGTTCGATCCCCGGCATCCCATAGGGACTCTGAGCACCAAACACCACCAGGAGTGATTCCTGAGTGCAGAGCCAGGAGTAACCCCTGTGCATCGCTGGGTCTGACCCAAAAAGCAAGGGGAAAAAAAGCATCTAAAAAATAAATCAGGGGCTGGAGCGATAGCACAGTGGGGAGGGCGTTTGCCTTGCACGCGGCTGACCGGGGTTCGATCTCTGGCTTCCCATAGGGTCCCCCGAGCACTTCCAGGAGTGATCCCTGAGCTCGGAGTCAGGAGGAACCCCCTTTTTGGTGTACCCCCCCAAAAAAAGCAATAAATAAATAAACGTGAATCTTTGCTTCTACTGGAAGGAAATCATGGTTCCCGGGAGGAGAAATGGTTTCGGTGAGTACTGACACCTACTCAGACCCGAGCCTTTCTCAAGGAATAAGGAACCAGCGTGAGGAAGGTCTTTAGCCTGAGAGGGACAGGCTGGCCAGGACAGTCCCGGGAAAGGTGTTCGACTTCGTCTGTGCAGGACCTGAGGACCCAGCTAGACAAGGAATCTCAGAAGCGAGCAGGAACGGGGGAATCTTTGCCCCTTCCCAGCCGGGAGCCGACTGTGATCACAAAACAGCTGCCACAGCTCCAGGCATCACCGCCAGCATCCAAGATGAGAAGTCAGAGCAAAGTTTGGCACCGGGCAGCTCTCCTCCCCGTGAGCTGCTCTGGCCAGCAGCGCCCTGCAGGACGCATTGATTTCCCTTGGCTGGAACCGAAGCGTGTCCATCCCCTGCTGCAGGGGAGACGAGGAAATTGAGTGTCTCGTCCCCAAGAACGGCAGCGCGGCTGGCTTAAAGAGGTTGAGCCGAGGCCAGTGTCCAGGGAGCGCCGACGTCCAGTGCGGGCGCCCCGTCCCGCCTCCACGCCCCTGAAGCCCCACTCCCAGCACCCAGGTCTCTGCTCTTCCCACGCTCCTTCTGCAAGACTTGGGGTGGCCCCACGGTGCCCCCGGGGGCCCAGGAACCCGCAGGATTCTCTCACTCACTCCCCTCGCCCCCGGGGGAACCAAGCACACAGACCCCAGGAACGAAGATGATTTTTTTTTTTTGCTTTTTGGGTCACACCTGGCGATGCACAGGGGTTACTCCTGGCTCTGCACTCACGAGTTACTCCTGGCGGTGCTCGGGGGACCCTATGGGATGCTGGGAATCGAACCCGGGTCGACCGCGTGCAAGGAGAACGCCCTCCCCGCTGTGCTATCTCTCCAGCCCTAGAAACGAAGATGATTTTATTAGTTTATTTTTTTTTGCGGGGTGTCCACATTGCACCGTGCTCAGGGCTCCTGGCCCAGCACTCAGGCGTCCCTCCTGTGGGGCTTTGGGGGGGTGCTGGGTATCGAACCCAGACCCGTGCAAGGCAAGAGCCTCCCAGCTGGACCACCTTCCCGGCCCCCACGGAACTGCAGCCCGGGCTGGGGACCATGCAACGGGGACACTGCAGGGAGGGAGTGCAGGCGGGCTTTGCATGCAAGGCAGCCCGGGCTGCACCCCCAGCCCCGCGTGGTCAGCCCCTGGACACTGGGGTCCCCCCATCCCATCCTGGCACGGAGGGGGCCCCTCTGGCAGCCCCCCACCTGCCTGTCAGTGCATCCCCCTGGAGCTGGAAGGCGCCTAAGGGCTGACCAGGGGGCGGGCCAGGGACGGGCCAGCTCCCTGCGCCCGCCCCGCCGGCCGCACAATGCAGGCCCCGCCCCGGCCGCCGCTCCCGGCCCGCCGCCGCCCGGCCCGCGCCCCGCGTCCAGGGGCTCCTGCCCGCCACCCTCATGGCCAGGCGGCCGCTGCTGCTGCTCTTCTGCGCGCTGGGGCTGGCCGCGGCCCGGGGTGCCCGCGCCACGGAGCCCCCCGAGCCCCAGGACACGCTGCAGAACGAGGCTGACAACCAGGAGAACGTCCTGTCCCAGGTACCGACCCCCGCCCGGCCGCCGCGGGAGCCCCCGGAGAGGGGCAGGGGGCCCGGCAAGCAGGGCAGGGCAGCGGGCGTGGCGGGGGGCAGCCGGAGCGGAGGGGCGCCTTCCCCGCTCACTGTCACCCTGCAGGGCTGCGGAGACTGCCGGGGGTGCAGGGGCGTACTGAGACTCACGGGGTGCTGAGACTGTCACAGGGGTACTGAGACTCAGGGGTACTGAGACTCACAGGGGTACTGAGACTGTCACAGGGGTACTGAGACTCACAGGAGTACTGAGACTGTCACAGGGGTACTGAGACTCAAGGGAACTGAGATTGTCGCAGGGGTACTGAGACTCACAGGAGTGCTGAGACTGTCACGGGGTACTGAGACTCACAGGGGTACTGAGACTCACAGGGGTACTGAGACTCAGGGGTACTGAGACTCACAGGGGTACTGAGATTCCCAGAAGGTACTGAGACTGTCACAGGGGTACTGAGACTCAAGGGAACTGAGATTGTCGCAGGGGTACTGAGACTCACAGGAGTGCTGAGACTGTCACGGGCTACTGAGACTCACAGGGGTACTGAGACTCAGGGGTACTGAGACTCAGAGGTACTGAGACTCACAGGGGTACTGAGATTCACAGAGGTACTGAGACTGTCACAGGGGTACTGAGACTCACAGGAGTGCTGAGACTGTCACGGGGTACTGAGACTGTCACAGGGGTACTTAGACTCATGGGTACTGAGACTCAGGGGTACTGAGATTGTCACAGGGGTACTGAGACTCACAGGGGTACTGAGACTGTCACAGGGGTACTGAGACTCAGGGGTACTGAGACTCACAGGAGTACCGAGACTCAGGGGCACTGAGACTATCATAGGGGTACTGAGATTGTCACAGGGGTACTGAAACTCAGGGGTACTGAGATTGTCACAGGGGTACTGAGACTCACAGGGATACTGAGACTCAAGGGTACTGAGATTGTCAGAGGAGTACTGAGACTCAGGGGTACTGAAATTGTCATAGGGACACTGAGATTGTCAGAGGGGTACTGAGACTATCACGGGGGCTCTGGAGGTACCGAGGGGCCCTGGCTTTGCCAAGTCTGTGTCCGGTGCTGATGCAGTTCCGCGGGCTCCGGGCCAAGCGAGGGCTCGGGGCGGCCTTGTCCCCCTCCCCAAGCCGGCTCTTCCCTCAAGCCCCAGGGGCCAAGTGTGGCCCCTCAGGAGACGGGCCCGGGTGCGCCCACTGGACGCTCTGGCCCCTGCTGGTGCTGGGCACGGCGCCCCCCGTGTCGCGGGAAGCGGGGGTCCGGGTGGACGCGCCCTGGCCCGGCTGCCCGGTCACGCGCCGTCCCGCCCAGCTGCTGGGCGACTATGACAAGGTCAAGGCCGTGTCCGAGGGCGCCGACTGCCAGTGCAAGTGCGTGGTGAGGCCGCTGGGCCGCGAGGCCTGCCGCCGGGTGGACGCGGGCACCGCGCGCCTGGACGACAGCTACACGGTGGAGACCATCACCTCGGGGCCCGCCTGCAAGTGCGCCTGTGTGGCCCCCCCGTCCGCGCTCAACCCCTGCGAGGGCGACTTCTGGCTGCAGAAGCTGCGCGAGGCCGACGGCCGCGACCTCAAGGTGCGCCGGGTGGACACGCGCTGGGCTGGACACGCGCTGGGCCTCGGATGCTCTCGGGGCGCCCCCCACGGGCGGGGAACAGGCGGCTTGCACACGCGTGCACGGACACACACACTTGGACATGCACTCACATACACTCAGACACACCCCGACACACACACTCACAGTCAGACACACACTCAGACACACGCAGACACACTCAGACATGCACAGACTCAGACATGCACTCAGACACGCACTCACATACACTCAGACACACTGAAATACACACTCACACATATAGACACACACTCAGACACACACAGACACATTCAGACACACGCACACTCAGACACGCACTCACATACACTCAGACACACACACTCAGACACGCACTCAGAGTCAGACACACACAGAGACACATTCAGACACACGCACACTCAGACATGGACGCGGACACGCACTCACATACACTCAGACACACACACTCAGACACACACACTCAGACACACACACTCAGACACACAGACACATTCTGACACACGCACACTCAGACACGCACTCACAGACTCAGACATGCACACTCACAGACACACAGACACACTCAAATACACACACATACTCACACATATAGGCACACACTCAGACACACACACCCACACTCAGATACACACTCAGACTCACACAAAGACTCAGATACATACTCACACTCAGACGTACACACTCAAACTCAGACACACACTCAAGTACATACTTAGACTCAAACACAAAGACACACTCAGACACATACTCACACACACATTCAGATACACACACATACTCAAATACACACTCACAACCACTCACTCAGACTCACACACTCACACTCAGACACACACTCAGAAACACACACACAGACATACTCAAACTCACACACTCACACCCAGACTCACACGCACACATACTCTGACACACACAAATATATACACTCGGACACACACACACTCAAACACACTCACACACACTCAGACTCAAACATACAGATACACACAGAGGCATACAGACACACTCACACGCTGACACACACACACACTCAGACTCATCAGACACGCCCTCACGCATGCGCACCCCCGCCCCCCGGGCCGGGCAGGGGGGTCGTGCGTCCTGCTGAGGGTCCGTCTTGCAGCTCTCCACGGTGCTGGACATGCTCGAGGGCGCCTTCTACGGCCTGGACCTGCTGAAGCTGCACTCGGTCACCACCAAGCTGCTGGGCCGCGTGGGCAGGCTGGAGGAAGTGAGTGGCGGCCGGATGTCCCAGACGCCAGGTGGCCGGGAGGGGGGGGGTCACCGAAGGGAGCCCGGGACCCGCCCCTCACTCCCGAAGTGGTCCGGGGGGGTAGCACTGCCAGGACAAAGGCTCGAACCCAAGCATGCACCCCCGACGCCCCCGAGCTGGGGGCTTTACGGTGTCATCTGCAGGGGCCCCACCAGCCCAGCTGCTGGGGACGTCGGCAGGACCGGGCCCATCAGCTCCGAGTTCCAGGTTCCAGCGCTGAGGGCGGCCAGGGTCCCTCTGGGGAAAGAGGGGGCGGGAGGGTGACTGGGTCAGGAGGCTGAGCTGAGGGTGGCAGGGGCTGGGAGGTGAGTTTGGGGGTGACGGGGGGGAGGGTGAGTGTGGGGTGACGGGGGAGGGAGGGCCCAGCGCGGGGCGCCCTGGCGGGTCTGGGCTGAGGCTGGCTGGGGCTCAGCCGGCGGGCGTGGGGGTTGGACGCCGCGCTGGCTCCGGAGCCCTGGCCGAGGGCTGAGAAATCCCACTCCGGGCCCGGCCCTCGGTCCCCAGGGCTGCCGTGGGGTCGGCGGGGGGCGGGGAGGCCGGCCACGCGGGCCCCGGTCTGGAAACTCCATTTGCAGATGGAAGCGGACGGAGCCCGGCTCGGGCTGGCTCCGTCTTGCTGGCCAAGGGGAGAAGTGGCCAGGCCCTGAGCACGGAGGGCTGCAGCGTGGACTGTCCCGGGCAGCTCTGCAGGGGGAGGCAGGGGGAGAGACGGGGTGAGCAGGGGGAGCACAGGGGGATCCGCCCTCGGGGTCCCGCGGGATGTCAGGGCCCGAGTGGGACCACGGGCGCTGGGCTCTGAGCGACACACAGACCCGTGTCTGCCTGCGTGAGTGCCCCCGTGCCGGCAGATGGGCTCACGCGTGTGCCCGTGTGTTCCCATGTCTGCATGCATTGAGTACATGCATACCAGCAGACGGGCTCACGCGTGTGCCCATGTGGGAACGCGTGTGTGCCCGTGTCTGCATGCAGCGCGTACACGCGTGCCAGCATTAGGGCTCACGCGTGTGCCCATGTGGGGGCGGATGTGTGCCCGTGTCTGCTTGCGTGAGTACACACATGCCGGCAGACGGGCTCACGCGTGTGCCCGTGTTGGGGCACGTTTGTCCTAGAAAGGTTGTGAGGGGGGCTGGAGCGATAGCACAGCGGGGAGGGCGTTTGCCTTGCACACAGCCGACCCGGGTTCGATTCCCAGCATCCCATAGGGTCCCCCGAGCACCGCCAGGGGTAATTTCTGAGCTCAGAGCCAGGAGTAATCCCTGGGCATTGCCGGGCGTGACCCAAAAAGCAAAAAGAAAAAAAGAAAGGTGGTGAGGTCCACGCTAGGCACGCAGAACCTGATGGCAGCCCCCGGCCGCGCTACCCCAACACAAGGCTCCTGCCCGCCACTGGGTGGACATCAAGGCAGCCGTGGGCTCCCCACAAGCGTGGGAAATGCCGTCTGGGGGGCCGTGTCCGTCCTGGGGGTCCCCCTCCCCACGGTTCCCTCAGGCCATTCTACCCTTTAGGACACAGGGGAGGGGACGCAGCCCCCGTCTGGCAGTGTCTGTGTGAGGGGAGAAGCTCCCCCCTGGAGAGACCCACCCGGGCGCTGATTTGGGGGTGTCTGGGCGCCCCGGGATGACACGGAGATGGATGGTGGCAGCTGGTGGCCCCGACAGCTGTGGTCAGGGTGGCGCCGGGCCCTCCCGCCGGCCCCAGATCCTGGGAGGCGGCTGTGGGGGTCCTGCTGGTCCCATCGGGGGGGTCCCCCACTTCCAGCTACGCCCCGTTGGCGGGTCCTTGTCGGGACCCTTGGCTGGGTGGACAAGTCAGGGTGCAGCTGTTCTGGCAGGGCTGGGGCGTCCCCCCTGCACCCCAAGAAGGGCCCCCAGGGGGACGGGGGCCCCAACAGGTGCCAGTGGGGACAGAGACCCCGTCCCGCAGCTCCTGGGGTCATGGGGGGGGTGCGACCACGACAGGGCTGTCACAGTCGAGCACCCTGGCCCCGGCTGGCCCTTCCTCTCCGCAGGAAGTTTCTAGAAACCTCACCCAGGAGAACGAGCACATCAAAGAGCACATCGCCGAGATCCGCTCCGAGGTGAGCGGGATGAGCCGCGAGGGCTGCTGCAGGACGCCCCCCGACGGCCACCCCGACCCCGCCACCAGCGAGCAGAGGGATGCGGCCGCTGCCTATGCGCGCCCCGAGGTACAGCCGCGCCCTGGGCTCCCGACTCTGTCCCAGCTCTCTGGTCCAGGGGCTGCAGGGACATGGGAGATGGAGGCTGAGGTGATGGGGGCTGAGGTGATGAGGGAGGGCTGACAGGCTGAGGTGATGGGAGACTGAGGTGACACAGGAGGCTGAAGAGCTGAGGTGACATGGGGGTTGAGGTGATGCAGGGGGCTGAGGTAATGGGGGGCTGAGGTGATACAGGGGCTGAGGAGCTGAGGTAATGAGGGGGCTCAGGGGACACGGGGTCTGAGGTGATATGGGGGCTGAGGTGACACGGAGAGGCTGAGGTTGACACGGGGCTGAGGGGACATGGGGGCTGACGTGACATGGGGGGTTGAGGAGCTGAGGTAATGAGGGGGCTTTGGGGATATGGGGTCTGAGGTGACACAGGGGCTGAGGTGACGTGGGGGCTGAGAGGACACGGCAAGGCTGAGAGGCTGAGGTGACACAGCAGGGCTGAGGTAATGAGGGGCTGACATGACATGAAGGTTGAGGGAGCTGAGGTAATGAGGGGGCTGAGGGGACCTGGGGTCTGAGGTGACACGGCAGAGCAGAGGGGCTAAGAGGATGAGGGCCTGAGGTGACAAGGGGGCTGAGGTGAGATGGCAGGGCTGAGGGGCTGAGGTGACATGGGGGCTAAGAGGACACAGCAAGGCTGAGGGGCTGAGGGGACATAGGGGTCTGAGGTGATGCGGGGGCTGAGGTAATGGGGGGCTGAGGTGACATGAGGGTTAAGGAGCTGAGGTAATGAGGGGGCTGAGAGGACACGGGGTCTGAGGTGACACAGGGACTGAGGTGACACAGCAGAACAGAGGGGCTAAGGGGACGAGGGCCTGAGGTGACAAGGGGGCTGAGGTTACACGGCAGGGGTGAGGGGACATAGGGGCTGAGGTAATGGGGGGCTGAGGTGACATGGGGGTTAAGGAGCTGAGGTAATGAGGGGGCTGAGGGGACACGGGGTCTGAGGTGACACAGGGCTGAGGTGACACAGCTGAGAAGCTAAGGGGACGAGGGCCTGAAGTGACAAGGAGGCTGAAGTGACATAGGGGCTGAGGGACTGAGGGGACACAGAGGTCTGGGGTAACACAGGGGCTGAGGTGACGCAGGAGTCTGTGAGAACAGCGCACTGTCCCCGGGCATGGGGCTGGGGTGGCCACTGGGTCATGCCGGGTTGGGGACGAGCAGACGGAGGAAGGTGACGGGGGCGCTGCCCGCGGGCAGCGGAAGTGACCGGGTCTCTGGCAGCGCCAGCCTGGCCCGAGGGTTCCCAGCTGCCTGGCAAGAGGCGACACCGGGGCCGCCAGCCGGACGCCAGCATTCCCGAGTGGGGCCCGCTGCTGTCCCCACGGGCAGGGAGACGCCACAGCTGGGCCCCTGCCAGACCACGGCTGCGGGCGGGACGGTGGCCCGCGGACAGGACAGTAGCGTGTGGGCGGGGACAGCAGTTTGGGAACGGGACAGCGGCTGCTCCCAGGGCCCGTGGCTTCGTGGACACGGGGGGGCGGCTCTGGAGTACCCTGACCCCCATGTCCAGCTGTGTCCTAAGTGTGCCCCTGGCCCCCATGTCCCCATGTCCTAAGTGTCCCCTCGGCCAGGACCCGACTCAGCCTCTGCCCGTCTGACAAACGTGGGGTCCCCACAGCCCCTCCTGACAAGAGGCCTGGAGGTGACCGACCCAGCAAGAGGCAGGGGTGAGAGATGTTGGCTTCAGGGGGTTGCGGGGTCTCAGGCGTGGTCCAGGGAGGCTGGCAGGGGACGCCGAGGCCTGGGCCTGGCTGCTGGACAAACCAACTCAGGTCGCCACAGGGCACCACAGTCTCCTGGCAGCTGAGTGCGCCGAAGCCTCTCTGAGGGGCCAAGGCGACAGCACAGCGGGGAGGGCGTTGGCCTGGCATGCAGCCGACCCAGGTTCGATCCCCGGCATCCCACAGGGTCCCCCGAGCACCACCAGGAGTGATTCCTGAGTGCAGAGCCGGGAGTCAGCCTTGAGCATCGCCGGGTGGGACCCAAAAAGCCAAAAAAAAAAATAGTAAAAAGTTGATTTCTTTGGCCCTTTCTCTCTCCATCACATGCAAAGTGGGACCAGAGCCGCCGGCTTTCCCCGGCTTCGCAGCCCCAAAGAACTGCATGTCCTGGGGCTGGAGCAGTAGCACAGCGGATAGGGCGGTTGTGTTGCACGCGGTTGACCCGGGTTCGATTCCCAGGATCCCACAGGGTCCCCCGAGCACCGCCAGGAGTGATTCCTGAGTGCAGAGCCAGGAGTCAGCCCTGAGCACAGCCAGGTGTACCCAAAAACCAATTTAAGGGTGCTGGAGTGATAGCACAGTGGGTGGGGTGTTTGCCTGGCACGCGGCCGACCCGGGTTCGAGTCCCAGCATCCCATATGGTCCCCTGAGCACCGCCAGGAGTAATTCCTGAGTGCAGAGCCAGGAGTAACCCCTGTGCATCGCCAGGTGTGACCCAAAAAGAAAAAAAAATTTAAAATGAAAAGGATGGGCTGGAGTAATAGCACAGTAGACAGGGCTTTTGCCTTACACACGGCCGACCTGGGTTCGATCCCTGGCATCCCATAGGGTCCCCCGAGCACCGCCAGGAGTGATTCCTCAGTGCAGAGCTGGGAGTCAGCCCTGAGCATCACCAGGTGGGACCCAAAAAAGCAAAAAAAAAAAGGGGCTGGAGCGATAGCACAGTGGATAGGGCGTTTGCCTTGCATGCAGCTGACCCGGGTTCGATTCCCAGCATCCCATATGGTCTCCTGAGCACCACCAGGAGTAATTCCTGAGTGCAGAGCCAGGAGGAACCCCTGAGCATCGCCGGGTGGGACCCAAAAAGAAAAAAAAAATTCTCTAATTCCACAAAAGCCCTGAACAGGGGAACCTTATGGTCATCACCCAAAAGCCACCCGGTGATCTCAAATATGAGGGGTCTCTGCCGCCCATTCCCCACGGTGCCTCCTACAGAGACCCCCGCTCCCACGCTGAGCTGAGCCAGAGGGCAGCTGTCCGTCCCTCCGCGGACAGACGCTCCGGAGACACCCTCAGCCGCGTCCAGCCTCAGAGTCCCCTCGTGGCCACAAACCGGCTGCTCGGCCCCAGCCCTCACATCCACCCGCCCAGGCCAGAGCGCGGGAGCCGCCTGCCTGCTGAGTCAGCCCCACTCGGGCGGAACAAGTCCAAGAAGCTCTTCCCGCCGACATCTGGGGAAAACATAGCCCCCGGCCGGGACGTGGTCCCATAAAGGCAGTTTTCCATTCCCGGGGAACAGAAGCCAGAGGCAGGGGCTCAGCGTCGGTGCCACAAACCACCAAGCCGCGGCTGGGACGCAGGAATGATCCGGAACGGGGCTGGGCCGGGCCGAGATTTCAGCCGGGCCTGGAGCAGTGGGTGGGCTTCGCCTGAGGTTTCCTGGAGACGAAGCGGAGACTTCGCCTGGAACAGGCAGAGCATGGAGTGGGGGGACGCCCGGGGACCCCCATCCCTCTCTGCTCAAACCAGGGTGCTGGGTGGGGCCTCCCCCAACTCCGTGCCTCAGTTTCCCAGACCGAGTGTGGCCACGGCGGACACACCAACAAGGCTGGCCCTGGAGGGGGGGAGGTTCTGGAAGTTTCTGCAGGAGGAAAACTCTCTTGGCAGGTCAATTCGGTGGAGCTACTGGGTTCGAGGCCCCTGGCACGGCCGGCCGTGGCGAGGCCCCCGCGGCCCCCGCACCGGCCTGCGGAGCCCAGGGGCCGACCGGCCTCCAGGCCCACCATCATCAGGGGCATCACCTACTACAAGGCCCAGGAGCCCGAGGAGGACGAGAACGACATTGAGGAACTACGTGAGTGGGGACCCCCGGCCTGTGCCGCCGAGGCAGGCGGTGTCCACATACCCCCACTGAACCCCAAACTCAAGTCAGAAATAAGACTGGTGGGGGCTGGAGCGATAGCACAGCAGGGAGGGCGTTGGCCTTGCACGCGGCCGACCCGGGTTCGAGTCCCAGCATCCCACAGGGTCCCCTGAGCACTGCCAGGAGTGATTCCTGAGTGCAGGAACCCCTGTGCATCGCCGGGTGTGACCCAAAAAGAAAAAAAAAAGAAAGACTGGTGACCCCCGGTCAGCGAGGGCGGTCCCCTGTCCCTAAGCCCGGCTGAGACCCGTGTCCACCCCCGCAGAAGACGAGTTTTTCAGCGGTGACCACGAGACGGACCTGCTGAGCGAGGAGCAGCTGCTCAGACACGGCCCCCCGCCCCCGGCCGCGACCCCCACCGACTCCACGCCCCCGGCCTCCGCCGGACAGTGGTCAACGCCCCTCCAGGACGCGGGGGACACGGCGGCCACCCCCACGGTCACCCCCACTCCGCCTCCGGCCTCAGCGGTGCCGCTGGCCGCGGCGGCCGAGGCCACGTCCACTGCGCCCACGCTTCCCACGGCCACGGGCACGGAGGCCACGGACGGGTGGGGCACGGTCCCCGCCAGCCCCACGCTGAGCCCCGAGGAAGAGGAGGACATCCGGAGCAGCATCGGTGGGTCCCGTCCCGGCTGGGCACGGGGGGCGGGACGGGGGCAGGACACCCGGCCTGGAGGCGGGGACGGGGCGCGGAGGGTCACCCTTCGTCCTCGCCCCTGCCCTCCGCTCAGGAAAGTGCAAGGACACGCTGTCCACCATCTCCGGCCCGACCCTGCACAACACGTACGGCCGCAACGAGGGCGCGTGGATGAAGGACCCGCTGGCCTCGGACGAGCGCATCTATGTCACCAACTACCACTACGGCAACACGCTGGTGGAGTTCCGGAACCACGAGAACTTCAAGCAGGGTGAGGGGGAAGCCCCGTGGGGGGCGGGACCCCCCCTCCCCGCCTCTCCCCTTCCCCTGTCCCCCCTGTGCTCGGGACCTAGAGGGGCCCAGGGCGGAGGGAGGGATGCGCGCTCGCAGGAACGTGGGGGCGACAGGCAGAGTTGGGAACGCAGAGGCGCGCGTGGGGGGGGGGCGCACAGGCAGAGTTGGGGGGCACAGGCGCGCGCTCAGGGGGTGCAGAGCTGGGGGTGCATGGGTGCGCGCTCAGGGCGCACAGGCAGAGTTGGGGGGCACAGGCGCGCGCTCAGGGGGTGCAGAGTTGGGGGAGCGCAGGCGCGCGCGGGGGGCGCACAGGCAGAGTTGGGGGGCCCAGACGCGCGCTCAGGGCGCACGGGAGGGCGCAGAGCTGGGGGCGCGCAGAGGCGCGCCGGGAGCGCACAGGCACAGTTGGGGACGCGCAGGCAGAGTTGGCGACGCGCAGGTGCGCGCAGGGGGCGCACAGGCAGAGTTGGGGGGCCCAGACGCGCGCTCAGGGCTCACAGGGGGTGCAGAGCTGGGGGCGCGCGGGCGCGCGCGGAGGACGCACGGGCACAGTTGGGGACGCGCGGGCGGGCGGCGGGCGCGCGCGGGGGGCGCAGGCCGGTCCCGCGGCCCCGCTGAGCCCCCGCCCGCCCGCCCGCAGGCCGCTGGAGCAACTCGTACAAGCTGCCCTACAGCTGGATGGGCACCGGGCACGCCGTGTACGGCGGCGCCTTCTTCTACAGCCGCGCCTTCACGCGCACCATCCTCAAGTTCGACCTGCGGCGCCGCTACGTGGCCGCGTGGGCGCTGCTGCACGACGCGGCCTTCGAGGAGGCCACGCCCTGGCGCTGGCGCGGCCACTCGGACGTGCACTTCGCCGTGGACGAGAACGGGCTGTGGCTCGTCTACCCGGCGCTGGACGAGGGCGACGCGGGCGGCGGCCTGGGCGAGGAGGTCATGGTGCTCAGCAAGCTGGACGCGGCCGACCTGAGCACGCGCCGCGACACCACGTGGCGCACGGGCCTGCGGCGCCACCGCTACGGCAACTGCTTCGTCATCTGCGGCGTCCTCTACGCCGTGGACAGCGCGGGCCGGCGCCACGCCAACCTGTCCTACGCCTTCGACACGCACACCAACACGCAGACGGCGCCGCGGCTGCCCTTCGAGAACCGCTTCGCCTACACCACGCACGTGGGCTACAACCCCAAGGACCGCCTGCTCTACGCCTGGGACAACGGCCACCAGGTCACCTACCAGGTCATCTTCGCCTACTGAGCGCGCGCGCCCGCCCGCCGGGGCCGCCGGCTGGGGCTCCGGGGCGCGGGAGCTGCTGGATGAGCCTGCGCGCGCCCGCTCGGTGCTGTGCGCGTACCCGCCCCGCGCGCGGCCGCCTGTGCAGCGACGTCCACCGTGCGCCCGCGCGCCCGCCCCATACGTGCGCGTGCCCGCCCGGTGCCTCCCGCAGTGCGTGCGCGAGCCTAGCCCGTGCCCAGCAACGTCCACCGTGCGTGCGCGTGCCCGCCCCTACGTGCGCGTGCCCGCCCGGTGCCGCCCGCAGTGCATGCGCGAGCCTAGCCCGTGCCCAGCAACGTCCACCGTGCGTGCGCGTGCACGCCCCTACGTGCGCGTGCCCGCCCAGTGACGCCCACAGTGCGTGCGCGAGCCTAGCCCGTGCCCAGCAACGTCCACCGTGCGTGCGCGTGCCCGCCCCTACGTGCGCGTGCCCGCCCAGTGTCACCCGCAGTGCGTGCGCGAGCCTAGCCCGTGCCCAGCAACGTCCACCGTGCGTGCGCGTGCCCGCCCCTACGTGCGCGTGCCCGCCCAGTGTCACCCGCAGTGCGTGCGCGAGCCTAGCCCGTGCCCAGCGACGTCCACCGTGCGTGCGCGTGCACGCCCCTACGTGCGCGTGCCCGCCCAGTGACGCCGCAGTGCGCGCGCGTGCCCGGCCACCTGCTCGGTGACGTCCACCGTGCGCGCGCGCCCGCTCAGTGGCATCCGCCTCGACGTGCGCGTGCCCGCTTTGCGTGCGCGTGCCCGTTCCCGTTCGGAGGTTCCTGCGGCTACACGGGGGCGTGCGTGCGCGTGCCCGCACCGCCTAACGCCTTCCCCCTTAGAGGCGTGCGTGCGCGTGCCCGCGGGCCACTCCTGCCGCTGCACCCGCGCGCGCCCCCGTCTAGGCCCCGCCCTGCATACGCGTGGCCGCGCACTGGTGGCGCGTGCGCGCGCGCCCGGAGATGTGTATTATTCTCGTCTATTATCCTGCGAGGGTGGAAGCGACCGTTGTGGGGGGGGGGGGTCGCGGAGCCCAGGGGTCGTGGATCGACCCGGGCTTTTGTGTGTGTGTGTGTGTGTGTGTGCACTGGTCTCCATCCAACTGGCTCTTTTGTGCCCACCCACTGCGGCCCTGCGCGCCCGGTCAGGGTCGGAGGGAGGAGAAGTAAGTGCAAGGGGCCAGGGGCCAATTATGTATTGGAGAAGTTTTTTAAAGCGAGAAAAAAAAAGTTTTTTTAAAAAAAAAATTAAAGAATTTTTAGATCAACCCCGCGTGCGATTTCGTTCTGCCCTGATAGGGCCTCTGCCTGGACAGAGAATCTCTAGGGACCACCGTGCCACGGCCCGTCCATCCATCTAGCCGCCCACCCACCCACCTACCACCCGTCCCTCCATCCTCCACCCAGCGGCAGGTGAGAAGAGGTTTGCCAGGCAGACCCCCGCCCTGGGCCGGCCGCAGCAGACGCACCGTTCTCCGATGCCAGGACCGGCCCCTCCTCTCCTCCCTGTTCAGATGTCTGCGTTCACCCCTGAAAGCTGGCCTGGCCCCTGCTCTGTCCCTGCTGGTGCCCAGGAGGGCAGACTTCAGGGACAGGAAGTGACCGGGCCTGCTGGCCAGGCCCCAGCTGTCTGCACTAGTTTCCGGAAGGTCTGGCCAGTGGCTGGCAGTCCCTTAGGTGTGCGGCTGTGACAGGCTGAGGTAAGCCGGCGGGGTCCCAGGAACACAGCTCCCCTCCTGCCTGGGCCCCACCGTGAGGCCTGCGCTACCCACTGGACCACCTTCCCGGCCCCCTGTTTCTAACATGGGGTTCTCATTTCCTTTGTCTCCGTCCTGCCGTGTGTGTGTGTGTGTGTGTGTGTGTGTGTGTGTGTGTGTGTGTTGGCGGGCTGGGGGCGGTTTGGCTCTTGTTCTGCGTCTTACTGGCAAAGACGCCTCTCAGGACCCGAGCAGCTGGCCTGTGACCCGGCCAGAATGGATGCTCTCAACATCTGAGCCCCCTGGACGGCCCCGATGGGGGATGGGGCTGTGCGGGGCGGGGGTGGCGGTGGTGTGTAATCCCCACCCCCGAGTCCCCTCGCTGGAGCGGACACTGCCCGTCTCTGGTGAGTGGGGTCCAGTGTGGCCTGCTCTGGGCTCGTCCACGCAGCCTGGACGCCCACGGAGCACTTGGCCCGGCCAGCTGAGCACAGTGCCAGGATTCGGGCGGGGAAGGGCTGGAAACTGGAACTTCCCAGGCTCCCAGCCCCCGGTCAAGCTGGCTGCAGCCCAGAGGCCCCGCGAAGCCCAAAGCATCTGCACTGGAGGGAGCTGGGAGCAGCGGCCAGGGGTGACGTGGACCTCAGCTCTGAGGGCCCTTCGGCTGCCACGGTCACACAGCAGGGAAAGGACAGCACCGCCAGGCAGCCCTGCGGAGGGACAGGCCAGGGACCCCCGGGCAGCAATGCCACAGAGACAGGCCAGGGATCCCCCGGGCAGCCCTGCGGAGGGACAGGCCAGGGACCCCCAGGCAGCCCTGAAGAGGGACAGGCCAGGGACCCCCGGGCAGCAATGCCACAGGGACAGGCCAGGGATCCCCGGGCAGCCCTGTGGAGGGACAGGCCAGGGACCCCCGGGCAGCCCTGAGGAGGGACAGGCCAGGGACCCCCGGGCAGCCCTGCGGAGGGACAGGCCAGGGACCCCCGGGCAGCAATGCCACAGGGACAGGCCAGGGACCCCCGGGCAGCCCTGAGGAGGGACAGGCCAGGGACCCCCGGGCAGCAATGCCACAGGGACAGGCCAGGGATCCCCGGGCAGCCCTGAGGAGGGACAGGCCAGGGACCCCAGTCAGCACTGCCACAGGGACAGGCCAGGGATCCCCGGGCAGCCCTGTGGAGGGACAGGCCAGGGACCCCCGGGCAGCCCTCCGGAGGGACAGGCCAGGGACCCCTAGGCAGCCCTCCGGAGGGACAGGCCAGGGACCCCCAGGCAGCAATGCCACAGGACAGGCCAGGGACCCTGGTCAGCACTGCCTTGGGGACAGGCCAGGGACCCCCGGGCAGCCCTGCGGAGGGACAGGCCAGGGACCCCTAGGCAGCCCTGCGGAGGGACAGGCCAGGAACCCCCGGGCAGCCCTGCGGAGGGACAGGCCAGGGACCCCCGGGCAGCCCTGAGGAGGGACAGGCCAGGGACCCCCGGGCAGCCCTGCGGAGGGACAGGCCAGGGACCCCCGGGCAGCAATGCCACAGGGACAGGCCAGGGACCCCCGGGCAGCCCTGAGGAGGGACAGGCCAGGGACC